CCAGATTCTTGAATTCACTGGTGTGCTCGACGAGAGACACATCATTTTTCAACTTCAGATTTATAAGCCTTTTCATCACCAAGGCTTTGTTCCGGGCAGTCTTTGACTGATACATTCCTTCTAACATTGTCCATAAGACATATGCATCTGTCTTTTAGGCGACATGGTGGAACACACTGTGGTCCATCCATTGTCTGATCTGACCGACGGTCTTTCAGTTCATCTTTATCCAGTCTTCATCATTCTCTGCTTCCAGTTTAACCCTTTTTAGAGCAATAGGGTCAAATAGGTCTTTATAGTATAGGACATCTTCCATCTGCAGCTTCTAGATTCCATAATTGGAAGCATTCAACTTTATTATCGATCTTGAAGTTGATGTAGATTCCTCCATCGTCTTCTTACTTGTACAAAAAATCTGAATTTGGACAAATGGACCACACTATTGAGTCTAGAATGGTCAAATTAGCTAGAAAAGCACTTTTTCCAGGGACCTTAATGAAATTTCTCCAAGCTAGGCCAAATTGCAATTTCAAAAATTGTAAGGGTTGGAATGCAATTTACCACAACTTTAGGGGCCAAATTGTAATTTTAAAAACTTTAAGGGCTAAAATGTAATTTACCATAACTTTAGGGGCTAAATTATAATTTTAAAAACTTCAGAGGCTAAAATGTAATTTATCACAACTTTAGGGGCTAAATTGTAATTTCAGAAACTCTACTGATGTAATGATGACGTCACAGTGACATCAGCCTTCTTCTTCAAATGCCTTTACCGAACTGAAATTTTCGACAAAATTCTAGCGAATCTTCGGCAAGCTTTACGGCACTGGTTTTAGCTCTAATTTTGACGAATTTTATATCGTCGGAATCGTCTTGAAGAGACGCACCTCCTGGTGTGCTCAAAATTTGATTTCGAGCAACTTCAAAATTTGACAAATTTTGAAAATCACATTGTTTTTCAACAAGCGGGGCTCTGATACCACTTGTTAGGATTAGGGACACTCAGAATTCAATCACACAGAAAGGAGACACAAGAGTTTTACGTAGTTAGGCAATAGCCTACGTCCACAGAGAGATATTTCTGACTATAGAATTTTCCCGGAGGAAGATTACAATTCACACCTCACAACCCTCTATAGAATTCACCCTCTTACACAGCTTTTTCACTCTGTGTTGTCTTATTTTCTCTTCCTCTCAACATTTATATATATACATGAGAAGAAGGAAACAAAGACAAGAGAAAGGAGTAATTGGGTTTGCCACCTGCCATCTTCCCTCCTACTTCTTGACTTGGAGAGCCACCCTTTAATGACTTCTCCATGTGGGCTAGAGCTAACAAGACATTCACATGGAAACATTTTCATGTGTCCTGAACACATGGAAAACTAGGCCGGAAAAAGACTGTATATGTCGGAATGTGACGAATCAGAGCTAAAAATGACATGTTTAGTCCATTAAAACAAACTAATAATCCTAGCAAATGTATGAAGCATGCTTGTTAAAATGTCTATAAGCAAAACAAGTTATAGAAAGAATCATAACACTAACCCAAAACTACTTCAAAACAGGTGAAAAAAAGCCTACACAGACTTGAATATACTATTCAAAGTACCAAACTCACCGATTTTACGCATATTTGGAGTAAAACACCTTTACTATGTAAGTTATTTCACTTTTAAAAATATCATCAACATTGTTAATATTGCATACTATTAGACATGCAAAACAAGTTCTTATGGCCATTTTTATAATTCTCATAAATTGGTATCAACCTTTGTTATTAGGATTTTACGATTCGCGATTTATTTTTTAATTTTTACAAAATCAATACGAATTTATGAGTGAATCTATTTTAGAAGCGAATCTCTAGTGAATCGCACGATTCACAATCGATTCACTTTTTACGATTCATGCAATTTTTAAAATTATTGTGTTCGATATATTTTCAACTCTTTTTTCTCTCTCCATCTTTTTAGTGAAAATAACATAATACAACTTCTAATAACGTTTAATACTAAAATAACTAATATATATATATATATATACATGATTTGTTATTATTTTAGTGATCATGGAGTTTTTAATAGGATATAATCAGATTCAGTCAGACCTAACATATTTTTAACATTTCTTCTCATTTTTTTCCCTTTAAAAAAATCATAATATATCTTCTAAAGATATTTAAGGTTAAAGCTACACTATGAATTATCTATTGTTATTTTATTTCTCTTTAAAAAATCATAATATATCTTCTAAAGATATTTAAGGTTAAAGTTACACTATGAATTATCTATTGCTATTTTATTAAATTGAATATTATATGTATAGGGTCAGTTATACCTTTTAAAATGTTTCAGGTTTTAAAATAAAATATTCTAAATAATTCTTTCGTATTATTTGCTTACTGTAACTTAAAAAAGTATGTATGCTTATTGTTTAAATATCAATATCGTTATTAATTATTATTACTTTAGAAATTGATAGTTTGTCTATTTGATTATTATCTTTATTAAGAATGGTTGATATTAAATATCTAAAAAGAAAAAAAATATGATAGTGATCTTACATAAGAATCTTTGTTAACTTCTTACTTATTAAATTACATGATTATCATTCAAAATAATATTTTCATTGATTTAAGTCCAAATATTTCATATTCATAAGATATATTTAATATCTAAATATATAAATGTATGCTTTTAAGTAATTTAAAAAAAAAAAAACCGAATCTTTACAATTCATAATTCGATTCGATTCGATTTGTGATTTGATATGAGACTATTTTAATTCACAATACGAATCCCGATTTGACAATCATAATATAATCTTCAACAAATATCACTTTCATAACAACAATAAAATATATTTTATGTCGAGCATCACAAGAATATTAACTATATAACAGAGAGGTTATGACATTCCTTTTTCTACTATTATAGAGAATAAAATTTAATCACATTTAACAGTTATGCAGCCTTGTTTGTTGAATGGATAAACATTAATAGGCTTCCATCTCTTTGAAATATTGTCTTAAGATTGTTGGTACGGATTTGATAAATACAATGAAAAGGATAAAATAAAAAATAATTATTATTGCTTCAATGCACGTTACAACGTTGCTTTCCTTAAGATGATATTCACTCCCACCAATTTTGTTGAATATAGTGTGTATCAAGTTACCCGCAAATCCGCCTCCAGGATACAATGAAACCTAATCTAAAAATTGATGTCTAACTGCATTATGCACCAATGAAATTAGATCCCGAATATCTTTGGATTTTTTAATTCACCAAGTAAAGAGGAAAATAACAATATATATCATTGAGAGAAATTCCATGAAAATATATATCCAATTGTCAACCTATTCTGCCTTTATATAAGCTAAGTTTGTCCTTTAGAGTATGTTTGGTACAACGAAATAAAATGAAATGAAGTGGGAATAGAATGAGAGTAAGAATAAAAGACAAAATTGAATGGAATGGAATGTCCATTCTCATTCCATTATTTGGTTGCCAACACATAATGATATAAGAATAAAATGATAATTTTCATTCTCATGTTTGGTTATATCTATTAAACTCATGGAATGAGATAAATTTTTTTTATTATTATTTTTTTTAACAAGCTAGTAACAAACAAATTAAAATTTTATATAAATCATGATAATATTAATAATTGTGAATGTGATGGTGTTAGTGGTGGTGGTGGTAGCGGCGGTAGTGATAGCAATGATACATGATGGTGGTAGTTGATTGTTGTGGCATTAGTGTTTGTGGTAAGGTGGTACTGTGGTTGCAATGGGGGTGGTGGTGGTGGTGATAGTAGTGGCAACATCAGTTGTATGGTGGCAATCGGGTGACAGTGGCGGTGGCAGTTGCAATGGCAATAGTGGTAGGAGACCAAAATAGTGGTAATAGTTGAATAATAATTTTTTTTTTAAATGCCAACAAAAAATAATAATAAAATTTTAGGATAATTCCATGAGAGAATGGAATGACGTTGGAGGAAAGAATAAGCATCCTCACATTTTGTTAGAATAACCATTCTAATAGAAAGACTATTCCCACTTAAAGCATACCAAATAAAGGAAGGGGAATGCAAAGCTAGAATGGGTATTCTATCTCAACCTATTCCATCGTACCAGACATGCCCTTAGACCAAAGGTGATATCCTTTAAATTCAAAATTAACACTATTTAAATCTAAGAGTCCTGTCTTTTAATTTAAATCCAATAGTTATACCCAATGATTTAAATCCAAAAGAGACATTTTTGTTTAAATTTAATGGTTACACTATTTAATTTAAATCCAAAAGTCACGTCTCTTCTAGTCACAAAAAAAGAAAAAGAAAAAAAAACAAGCGTGCATACTCTCAGAAATCTGTTGGGCAACACTTCCTAGTCTTCCTTACCCCCCCAGTCTTCCTTTCCCCCCAGTCTTTTCTCCAGGAGTTTCTTTCAATTTCCACACAAACACCGGCCCCCCCCCCCCCCCCCCCCCTTTCCTCTTAGATCTATTTTTTTCTTTCTTGTGTATCACCATGCTAACGGCTATCACTCCTCACTCCTCCCGACTCCATCGTTGATTTGTCATAGAGAAAGCTTTCAATTTTAGGTTCAGATCTAACTCTTGATCAATTTCCAACATTGCTAAGGAGGCTTTCTCTTCCCTGCACGGAGATTTGTCTTCCTACGTGCAACCTCCCATTATCCCATTCGAGATCTGCTTTGTACTCCAATGTACTTATTGTCAGATATGTAATGTATTAAGCATAGTACTTTCTGATATATATATATGAAATATGAATATAAAATGAAAATAAAAAAGAAATCTATTAATTACAGGTGGTCGTATCATAGACAAATTATTGCAATCCACAGAGAGTAGTCCAAGGACACGTCACGGTCAAATTTACTTGAAAAGTGCCATAGCCACACACATCAATCACCAGCAATAGAACCTATAATAATCCTGATGCTGCACTGAAAATACCTGAAGTAGTAGTTATTCAGCCACCCTCAACCCATCAATTTATTAAAATGGAGAAATTATTGGAGTTTGTTATTGGGTAAATGGTGTGTTATAATCCATCCCACATATATGGTGTCCAAGGGAAGAGTGTTTATGCAACTTAACTATAAAAATCCTGAGATATAGCAATCAAACAGCAAGAAACAAAAGATTAACAAACACCCGAGTTAGATGACATCATCCTTGTGCTCATCAAACAACTTTTCTCTAACACAATAATCAAATGGAAAAAGAACCCAAAGGTACACATGCAAACAAGCTCTTTGACTTACAGGAAAGCATCCTTCTCTAACAGCTTCAGTACCTCATGCTGGTTGTTAAGCTTGGCAACATCAATGGGAGTTTTTCCATCCATATTCTGAAGAGTGCTGCAGCAAGAGAAATACTGAATAAGTAAAAATGAAGTTTATGACAGCAAACAAATGTTGACCAGATGCTGACTTACACAGCGGCACCATTTTCTAGTAGAAGTGCTACACACTCCTTCCTGCCATAACCAGCTGCATAGTGCAGGGCAGTGTTTTTATTCTTATCCAACGCATCCACCATTGCTCCAGCCTCAAGAAGGATTTGAGCACACTTCACCTGGAATTGAATCAAGAGGGTCAGTTTAGCTCCTTGTAGAAAAGCTAAAGGACTTCGAAGCTCATGCTGCAAAAAATGCAATGTTGTTCTGCAGCCACAATGGGCTACTGAGTATCACTTGTAAAGTCCAAAATAATAATTGGTTACCCTGTTAGTTTGGACAAAAATCATAATTCCTTTGAGGAGGGTGATTCTATTTACACCCTTTAAATTTATTTCCACACCCACCTTGTGAGGGTACAAATCACAAGGTGTGTGTGCAGAGAAATTGAAGTGGTGGAAGGCCAGAAAAATTACGAAAAAGACCTTCATAGTGTTTTGATTATCATTTTTTGTACAAAAAAAGAAAAAACATGATTAAAAACATGGTAACCACAACGTCCGGATGATATGACTCGAGGAAAGAAGAATTTAGCCAGGGAAGGGTGATAATTAGAAAAGAGTTTCTAATTACACCAATATGAATTATGCAGTTAGATTGAATACAAATTATTGAGTTAGGGGTTTTGATAGTTTTCCAAACCTTAATGGCTTAATTGGGACATAGTACGATTGAATGATTGAATTGTACGACAACTATTAAATGTTAATTGAAGGGGTCACTGTTTATATGGATACTATCTAGGGTGGTCATGATATGCTGCTAGGTGTCACTCATGATCCATAGAACCTACTGGAATAATTCTAGGGTTAAATTAGGAGGTCTAATTAATTTTACTACCTAGATTAGTGTGAACCTAAGAGGTTTCAAAAAATAGGGGCAATGTATAATATAAAGGAATTAAGGGAGTTCATCATAATTAAGGGTTTAATTAGGAACTTACGTAATAAATATTTCATAAAGGGTAAGAGTTAATTGTCACAAAGTCTATTTTTTGTAGGGCAAGATAAACTAATCCTTGTCAAATAAGATTACCTAATTCTATAAATAATAGTCTTCAGATAAGCTAGTCTAATTGAGATTTTCGCTCTCCAACATTCTCTAGAAAACTTATGAAGTTTGCAGGTATTTTCATGTTCCAGATTTTCTTCAAGTGAATACTTTGAGACAAGACAATTGAATGCTTGAGGATTCAAGTGAACTCAAAGGATCAAGCAGAGAGTTGGATTTGCATTTTAGGTATTTACCCCAACTATCTCTATGCATGGTTGAATATGAGTTTTGAATATATCAGAAACACAATTATGCGAATTGAGAATCAAAATAAAAATTAAATTCCATTGTGGTAACGATTCCTTTCAATTCCTATGCCAGTGCCTTGTATAACATAACATCTTGCACCTAGTTTCTTCTATATATGTTTGCCAGTTTGTCTTTTAAAATACCCTCATTATTGAAATGGGCATTAGCCTGAGTGGCTAAAACCATGGATATTTTCACCATTTATGGTTGTTATTAGTGCAGTTCTTTCTTTCTACCAAATAAAAAAATTTGTATGAACTAATATGTGATACATAATGCAGGAACTAATGCAGTTCTTTCTACCAAATATATATATACATATATTGTAAAATGTGATGTGGTTAGGGCCATGTATGAAAGAGAAATTGAAAGAGAAGATAAATTGAAAGAGAATAGATTGAGATGGTTTGGTCATATACAATGGAGACTAACAGAGGCAGTAGTGAAGAGATGCAATACAATGATAGTAGAGAGAAGTGTTAGGGGAAGGAGCAAACCTAAATTGATGTGAGCTAGTGTAATAAATAGAGATATGAATCTTCTTAATTTGACTAACCAAATGGCCTTTGATAGTCGAATGGAGAAGAAGGATTCATGTACCTGACCCCATTTGATGGGACTTAATACTTGGTTTAGTTTGGTTATATATATTGTAAAATGTAGGACCAATTAGCTCACATGTTCCAACGCAAGTGTATGAATGATGCATGCATCATCACGCTATTGATTGTGGCGATTTTAATAAGGAGACATGTGTGATACTTTAGGGGTAAGAGTGAGACCATTGGCAGTCTGCATAATGTATGAACTATATTGGTTTTCTGATGATTTAAAAAATACAGTACTAAACTTAATCAGCCCAAGTTAGAATGCACGTCCAACTAGTTGAGAAGAATCCACCGCCAAAGAACATAAAAAGCACAGAGAAACAGAGTATTATGCCCGAAAAAATATGAAAAAAAGAGTTTCACTTCAAGAGACTATAATACCTCGCCATATCCACAAGCAAAATGCAATGCTGTCCTTCCCTCTGAATCTTCTTCATCTTTATCAGCACCAGAGGCCAGTGCATTCTTCAAGCCCTAATGATCACATACAGTGAAACTAGCAATAGTTATCTTGTATATTAACTAAAAATGAATGCAATGCTTATGAAGTGAATTCACTTCATCAGAATAAAGCAGATTATAGAAAACGACGACAGAAAATTATTGGCAGAAATACCACTCCAGGTTATATCTTTTTTGTTGTTGTTGATAAATCTATTCCCAGGTTAAAATTATTCGGTATAATAACTGAGCAGGTGCAAATTTGGAATGTTGGCATACATTTTTTCTACAATAATCTTCCAACTATTCTGAAAAATATTTCCCCAAAATTAGAAAATTATTTGTATAATGCATACAAAAACAAACTTTGTCAACTACAAGCCACAAATTATTGCAAACTTCAAATATTCTAATAATTCCATACAATCCCCAATTGAAAACATAACATCCATTTTCCCAAGCACCGGTTGCTTATCCCACTTTCAAACTTACATATGAAATTTAATTACTTTATCCACAATTTTTTCAAAGTTATCCCCAAGGAAATATTTCCCAAACATAGGCTATCTTTGAGAATTAACTTCACTAGAGAATGTCATTTGTAGTGACTACATACAACCCCTGTATAGCAAATGGTGTGCAGTGATAACCTCCAAGTTTCAACTGAAGGCCTTCTACGAAGGTCACTTGTCCATTATTACCAAGGAGCTACTACTCAGCAAGATTATTCAAAATTTGCAGGAAACATCTACGGCATATATATAATGCTCTTTTGTTAACCAACTGCAGCAGCACAATTCACTAGCCACCTATGAAGAACGGGCACGGGACACGGGACACAGGACATGGTGATTTCAAAAGAATGGGGACACGGAAATGGCAAATTTTATTTATTTATTATTATATATATTTTCTATGTAAATTAATACGAAGTCAAAATTAATAAAAACTAACATTAATTCAAAATATATAAACCACTACATTTAAACAAATTAATAGATCATCCATCCACAAAAAAAAAAACATAATAAATGATAAGAGCTAAGGTGATGAGGGAAAAACATTCAACATTCAACAATGTTCTTTTTTTACTTTCTTAATTTTACACTCTGACCCCAAAAGACATTTACAAAAATTAAAAAAAATACCCCCGTTGTGTCCCCTAATGTGTCCAGATTTGGACACATGTGTCCCCGGTATGTCTCTACCATGTCCCCTACCAAAAAAAAAAAACTAATAAAATTAAAGGGACACGTATCTGTCCTAGGCGTGTTACCATGTCTGACACCGCTAAGGTGCCGATTTTGAAGTGTCTGTGCTTCATACCTAGCCACCAAGAAAAAGAATTCTATGCATTCTTGAAGTGAGATGTTCCCATATGAAAAGATTGAGAATTAAATTGTTGAGCTAATATGTTATTAAAATAAAACAGGGTTATTTTTCTAATTTTTATAGGAGAGTTAATTTTGTATTTTTCTTTTTCCGGTTTTCAAGAGTCTATAGAGTATAAATCACCCTATTTGATTTTCAGTTTTCAGAAACAGTTTTCAGAGTTTTCAATTCATATTTTTATATTTTTAATGATTTTTTAATTACTCTAACCAATTTATTTTAATTTTTAGATTCACTTAATCTTAATATACTTAAAAAGTAAAAAATTTGTACAAAAACCTTTAAAAAATTCATTGAATACAACACAATACGAAAATGTATTGAAATTTCAATTTTTTATTTTTTATTTTTTTTTTGGTATTTGATGAATTTTTAAATTTTTTTTTTCACAAATATTATACTTTTTGAGTGTATTTAGATTAAGTGAATCTAAAAAATAAAAAAAATTGTATAAAATATCAAAAAAATTCACTAAAAACAAAAAAACGTTGAAAACAAAAACCTCAATTTTTGGAACCAAACATGGTGACTAGGACTCAGTTATGTTCATTGAAAGGAGGTTAAGATGTGAGAAACCCCTCGGTTTGTTAGAGCAGTGGCTCCACGTATCCTTCCCCCTTCCAAATTCTCTATTCATCTGCTTGTGGATTCAAGCCCCCTGCTGGACTCGAAGGGTTTTCCCTTATTTCTTTCTCCCCTCTATTCTCGTTGTGGATTCGAGGCCCCAAGTGGACTCAAGGGTTTCTCCTCTCTAAATGTATCCAAATATATAGGTATTTCAGTGAAATAATTAGACATCAAATTTTTTTATTATATGATTTCCTAGGTTAAATCAATTTGGCACTGATGATGTGCTTATTCACCAATTGTAAACCATAAACTCATTAGTAAATTTACCAACCTGCATCTTAAACTAAAAATGCCAATAAAATTAATATTTTTTAATTTCAAATTGGTATAACTAAATTTCAAGAATTTGTATGTGCCAAAATGCGCAGATTGACAACAAACATGCACAAATGTAGCCTTCAGCTTCAAGAAATATCAATTAAATTCTAAAACCTTGCTTCGTTTCTTCTGGTGTACCCAACCCTTATTCATGAAACTGAATCTGAGCAAGCATAAAAGCAATCAGCCAGGTCAAACACATTTAGCCTACTCAGTATCCCTGATGCTACATATTAAACCTGCTCTTGAAAAATTAAGGACATACAGGAGTCCAATAATAATAGTTCATCAAGGACAGGACAGTAATAGAGGAAAGGCATAACAAACAATTGAGTACCTCCACATCACCAACACTAGCAGTGTGATGAACAATGGATTCATCCTCAATTCCTGGCTCTTCTATTTCATCTGGCCCAGCATTTTCAGCAGAGGTAGCAGGTTCCCCTGCAACAGCAAGACCCATTGCTTCACCTAGCTTCTGTAGAACATCTTTATCATTCCAGTACCTAGACAACACAAATTGGAAGGAATAAGCCACTTATGAGCAAACAAAACCAATTATGAAAATCATCAAGTGATTAATTGATCTCAAGACAATTCAACAACCAATTAATTAACCTATCAATAAATCAATCCATAAATTAGACAATTAAGCTAGTAAATATATCAATCTCATCAAGATATATACAATCAACCACAAGATAATATATTTAAACATGGAAGCCCAATAGGAACCCACTTCTATAGGGAGAAAACTATGATCCCAACACCTCAAGCTCCGAAGATTTTAAAGCCACCACGAAGGTCCTTGCTCCAATTTCCATCTTCAACGGCTCCGTTGCTCAAACGTCCATGATGTTATAGGGATAGGGAGTGAATTGTGAAGGTTTTTGCGAGTTATTACACAATCTAGGTGCATTCAATTGATTCAAAGCATGCGCTAGCAATGGAACTGAGGCCTACATCACTTGCCGAAGAATCTTTCATGTGGTAAACTCAATCCGAGTATTTTAATTAAAAAAAATACTACCAAATCAGAGTCACTCTAAAGATTTTGTTCAATGGAAATTGTCAACCTAACTAAAGCTATCCTAACCTCTGTTATCAGAATCTTACGATTTGCGATTCGATTCGCAATTTTTGCAAAATCGATACGAATCTATAGGTGAATCTATTTTGAAAGTGAATTTCTAGTGAATCGCACAATTCACAATCGATTCACGATTCGATTCACTTTTTACGATTCAGGCAATTCTTGAAACTATCGTGTCCAACATATTTTCAATTCTTTTTTTCTCCATCTTTTTAGTAAAAATGACATAATACAACTAATAGTGTTGGATGCCAAAATAACCAATATATATACATGATTTGTTGTTATTTTAGTGATCATGAAGTTTTTAATAGAATCCAATTAGATTTAGTCAGACTCAACATGTTTTTAACCTTTCTTCTCATTTGTTTTCTTTTAAGATTAAAGTAACTTACGTCATGAATTACCTATTGTTATTTTATTAAATTAAATATAATTGAATATTACATAGGTGAGGTTAGTTATACCTTTTAAAATGTTTTATGCTTTAAAATAAAATATCCTAAATAATTCATTCTTATTGTCCAAATATCAATACCTTTGTCAAATTATTATTACTTTGGAAATTGAGAGTTTGTCTTTATTTCATATCTTTTATTAAGAATGGTTGATAAGAAATATCTAAAAAAAAAGAAAAAGGTAAGATGGTGATCTCACATATGAACCTTTGTTAACTTAGTACATATTAAACTACGTGTTCATCATTCAAACAATATTTTTATTGATTTAAGTCAAAATATTTAATATTCATAAGATATATTTAGCATCCAAGTATGAAAATATATTTTCTAAGCAATTTAGAAAAAGTGACCGAATCTTTACGATCCGCGATTCACGATTTGAATCCCAATTTGACAACTATGATCCTAAATCTGCCTCTCTGGCATTTCTGTTACAAGACACCCAAAATAGTACATGAATCTCAAAACAAAGAAAAAGAGTACCAACCAGCCCAAGACACCCATAAACTTGAACTACGCTGTGTCTTTGGCTTGAATTTCATAAGCCCAACCAAACCTGTACACCTATGACAAAATGCTCACCAAGAAAACACCTTTTTTCTTTATAGGGTGGCAAGCAAAAATATGGCCCAAGTACTTTTTGAGTTTTTGTCTATTTCCAGTTTTTAAGTAATTAAAAAGCATATTTTTTTTCATTGAAAGGGACATTGAAAGAATACCACAAAGCGCAAGGTGCAATGTGTAATAATCAGGACAATAGGGAACATAGTCAATATGAAGCAAAATGTTATGGATGTAAAAGAAAAAGAATAAGACATCACAAGAAAACTACATAATCATGTTAATCAAAAGAAACAAACTGGATTAAGCAAGGCTAACACGAAAAATATAAACATAACAATATCCAAAAACATAAATGTCTCCATCCATAATAATGTAAACATCAATACATAACTAGAAAAACTCTCCTTCTCAAATATACTATGAAGGATGTGTATGGGTATATAGGTACTGGTACGATAGGGGTGCGTCAATACGGGAAAATCTTTTAAAATAATAGGGTACAGGTATTTATGGTACGCTTGTAAAAAAAATATTTATTTTTAATTTGGAATAATGCCAAATTGGTTAAATGGTTTAATTTGTTAATATCTAACTTAAAATTCACATTTAATGCCAAAAGTAAAGGTATAAACCAAAATTAAACGTCATTATATTAAATAACTTACAAATCATAATGTAATTTTAAGATCATACCAGCATAAATTAAAATAAAACAAAAAAAGTCTAAAGAAACTAATTTTAACTCTGCATAAGAAGAAAATACTATTTTGACTGAGGTACATATGACTTGGGTATATACTAGGTATATTTGAGGTACGGCAAAAATTAAGAACAAAAAATCTGGTACATATTTCGTGTACCCGGTATGTATGCAAAAGAACCATACGAAGGATCAGTGGCATGTCTGTCGAAGTACCCATGCTTCATAGCAAATACATATCTCCCCCCCTTAGTTGCAGGAATCGTGCAATCAGGTGGCGGTTCTGAGTAAGAATCGCGATTCTGCGCTTCCTAGAAAGAAATGTGTAAGAATCGCGTTTCTGTGGAGAGAGAAACGCGATCCAATCCAAGATGGGATCGCAAGGGGGAGAGAGAGAGAGAGAGAGAGAAAAACGCTGTCGCCTTCTCCTTCGACATCGCCTGGACCTTCGATCTGCTCTCGCGATCTGCTCGCGATCACTCTCGCCTTCGATCTTCTCGACATCCCCTTCGCCTTCGCCATCGCCCTTCTTCTTCTTTGATCTGCTTCTTCTTCTCTCTCTCTTTCTCTCTCTCTCGTCGATTTATGTTCTGTTCTGTCTCCCCCCTCCCATTTTTAACATATAATAAATATAATAAATAATATAATTTGTTATATAAGAAATTCAAAAATAAATAAATAAATAATATATATTTTTTAATTTTACATATAATAAATAAAGTTATATATTGTCAAGTCTTTTTATTTGATTAGATGATTAAGAATTAATGATATTTTGTATTAGTGATGAATTTTCTAATGGGATTCTATTATATTTTTGTGTAGCAATGTAAGTCATCAAATTTAATATATTTAAATAAAGCCACTCCAAAATTTTTGAATTAATTTTAATTATATATGCATAATATACATACATACATATATATATATATATATCTAAGCGCTCCCCGAGGTGCTCCTAACCTAAGAAACTTCTATCGGCTCCCGCTCCCGCTCCCGCTTCGTGCAACTAAGCTCCCCCCTTTTGTCACAACATGCCAAAAGGGGTACACAAGGACATATAAAAAGAAAAGAAAGAATCTCTAAAGCAGCAATGGAGCATAATCATTAACCTCATTAGTTGCAATGTCACCATCTCAATCGAGCATATGATTCACATTGGTGCTCCACTGCTCGTCGAGATAGGTAGGTAACATCAATTTAGAGATGAGTGAGGCGAGAATCAAAACTCTGCATGTGGAGATTAAAGAGCTACACGTATTGAAGAACCACACCCAAACAAGTTGGTTGGGCTGCAGGAGGAGGTGGAACAACAACATGAGCAAGAAGAACTGAAGCATCCTCATTGGCAACATCAGTAGTTGGTCAGCCAGCTGCATGATCGTAAGTTTGACTAATGGTCCTCTTAAAGATAAGATGAGCAACTGACACGCTCTTTAGAAGCGCCTATCAGAACTTTGTGAGTAGTGGAACGACGAGTGACGAGCCATCAATGCTGTTTGGTTTTTCAAACTATAGTCAACAAAATGTGCCAAATGAATGGGGGAAGGTCAATGGAGCGACCTGCGCCAGTGGCTTGCAGAGGATCAGCCCAAGGAGGCTGGATATCAGAGGCATGGCCCTTAGTCTCTATGACATCGACCACAACCCTATTAAGAATCCTATAAAAAAGAGACAGGGCACCATAGGGAGAACTCAAAGGTGTAAGCATCAACAGTCAAAATGGCTGAAATGATCTAACGAGACGGTGTAGAAGCAGGATTAAAATGATAAGAGGGGACCTGGGCTCGAGGAAGGTTATAAAAGGCTACAATATAGTTGTTGAGACCTCAAAGGTCATATCACATAGAAAGACAAAAAATAAAATAAAATAAGACTCATCAGACTCATGAACATTGGAGTGAAATTCTTGAAGAAACTCCATGAAGGGATTACATGGCTAGCACAAATCTCACACCATTGTTGGTTCAAAAACAACTCTTGAATACTATAGCCCACAAGATCACTCAACCTCACACCTCACTCATAGAGTTGACTAGTTAAACAAGTAGCATCAAAGGCATGTGGCCTCGAGCCATGAGAAGAGGGAGAACATGAATGTGTGTGTGGGAGTCTAGAACCACATGTGGAATTGCCCCAGCCATAAAGAGAGTCAAAACCACAAAGAACATTATGAACATGGTACAAAATTTAAAAAAACACTAGACAAGGTACTTACTAGGGTGAGGAAGAGGAAGAACCAGAGGAAGAGAAGGATTGACACTCGAGCTCTGGGATGTATAACTGAAAATGGTGTTACAGATATACGCAGTGCGCTTGAATGGGTAGCAAGCACTGTGAGTGCTACTGAAGGTTGAGCACTAAGCGAGTGCTTAGCAAGAGTCAAAACAAAAAGTGAAGAAACTGGGGCCAAAGCAGAGTATGAAGCTAAAAACAGAAACTCCCCTCAAGAAAAACACTCCCCCTAAACCAATGGCACTCTCCAATGCACTAACATGGAACATCATGCATGCAAGATCAACAAAAACACAAAATCAAAAATGAAAGCAAGCAACTCAAAATGCCATCTTAAAGATATGAAGACCTTGTTTGGGAAGTTGGCTATTTTAGTAGGCTACAATATTTGTGTTTGGGAAGAGAGTTGGATTTTTTTGTAGTTGGATGTGATGTTTGTGAGAAAAAAAGTGA